AAGATTACTGAGGAAATACTGTGTCATCTTTTGTTTGAGTATGATTACTCCAGAACTATATTGACGACGTTGCTACAATGGATGGGAGAAAGACATCAAATTGGCGATAGTCTATCACATTTGGGCTAAGAGGAACTTGCATAGGTTTCAGGGACAAGCAACATTATGCACTCAAAGTATCAAAGATATTGTGCTACAGCTACACCTCGGGGGCAGAATGAGTTCAAATGGCATACCATAACGAAATTTTAAATAACTACCCCGTCTAAGTTTTGGATTGGTAAGACATGCATCCTGTAAATAGAGAAGTACGTGGGAGATAGTTTGGTGTAAATACCCGGTGTGGATAAGTATATACCGTTATTAGATACATAGTTATTACAAAAATTTTATCTTTCTTTTGTCTAGCTCTAGAGTCAAAATGAGCTAGCAGTTCTACGTAATTATATTTGATTAAATAAAATTATATCTGTTTAACCCAAAAAAAAAGTGCACCCTTATCAAAGAAAAAAGGAAGGGGAGAAAATGCACTTTTCAACCCGTCATCAACCACGTAATTAGTTGAGCAAATAACGAACCCACTTTTTTTTAAATGATAATTTTAATGTGTTAATTACATAGATTTTTAGTACCATATTACTAAATAAAACATAAGTCGACATAATTTAAAATTGTATTGGTAATTCAAATTTGTACATCGTAATCGCACAGTACGTACGCGAAAAGGTGAACCAATGCGTAGTTGAATATTGTTACCAAACAAAAATCATTCGAAGCAACTGTAGATAAAAATTCACGTACGCCCTGGAATTCGACGGATATGGCACCACCAAAGTGATATAGATTGATCGATGGATGTTTTAGAAGCAATTAACGTCATATCATTGATATGACAATACTGGACCACCCAAGAAAAAAAAAGAAGGTAAAATTCCACTAAGTTTATTGGAATATAATTAGATGCCAGAATGAAGAGTCCGGAACCAAAATGTTGTTATTTTGGACTCAAAAGACACAAATAAGTGTAAAAAAAAAGTGACCATAATATATATAACGCCAGAAAACCTGGCGCTATATAATAACGGTAACTGCACCGTTAATATATAGCGCCAGGTTTTCTGGCGTTATACTGACACAGTGATATAGCGCCAGAAAACCTGGCGTTATACCCTTTTTTTCCTGACCCCAGCAATAATAGCAGAGTACAATAATTCCAAAGCGTATAGTGCCAACTTATTTGGCGCTATATATGTAAAAAAAAAATCTTCCCGGCTCTCCGTTTTCTATATAAAGAGGTTAGAATTGCATAGAAATGCATTCAAAAATTTTTTTAACTCTTGTTGCTCTTGTTGAAACGTCTATTGTTGTTAAATTCTACAGCATTTTTTCATTATGTCTGAAGAGCGTAGGATAAGAGTTTCATTATATTGGGGTGGTGAGGTTGTGATGGAGAATAACTCCGTGGGCTACAGTTTACCTGCTAAGTATCATGTTAAATTGCCACTGACAATGGAGTACGATACATTGATATCGTTGTTATGCAAAAAAATGAGTGTGAGGAAACGTTCGGTGATACTTAAAGTAACCGGAAGATATCCGTATTCCGTCACTCCGCAAGGAGTTGCTTTTTACTCGGAGTTTAACATCGACGATGATGAAACTTTGCGTGATTTTTTGAGGACTCCGGACGAATGTCGGGATTTTCTTGTAATCACAATGTTGGAGATGTACGTGAAGGTCGAAGACGTTCCAAAAAATGAGGTTGTGCGTAGTAGAGATAACCCCCAGTCATCGGGTGGTTATTCTGGAACAGTTTTTGCCGGACAAGTTCCGGATGAAAGAGTTATCTTTGATTTAAACTTATCACCGCCGGTGAATGAGCAGGGAGAAAATAATTTATACCCTGCTTTCCATAACTCACAAGACGAGTGGTAAATTTTAATTTTTATTTGTTTTAATTATGTATATTTTTATTATACTGAATTTGTATTAACGCTCACATATTTAATAGGGGATACCGGCCGGATATGAATTTTACAAGTGGCCCATCCGGTAGTCATCACCTAATTGATAACGTCCATCATGGAATTTCATCACATTACGACTTGTAAGTGAAGTGGTTTACGCAAAATATGGAAATCATTTATTAATTTAGTAGCTTATATTTTTGTTGGTTGTGCAGTGAAAACGAGCAAGTTGAACTCACTCAATTGCCCGAAAATGATGTATTACATCGGGACCTGGCAGATGCACAGAGTGAGGAACAGAACAGTGATTACGATAACAATGCGGATGAATTCGGGGATGAGACACCCTTTGCTCGTGAGGATGGTGATGCAGAGGATGAGGAGGAAGGACCTGATTTGAAGAGAGACCCCCCTAGACGAAGAGTGTATGAGTCCGAAGTGCCGTTTCATTCAAGAGAGATTCCTTACATTGATAACTTGCCAACCGTGCCGGATGTGGAAGCTCTCACAAGGGATTTTGATGAAATCCGGACAGCAATATGGGATGAGTCTAGACCAACGGTGCTTGCAAAGGGGATGCTTTTTCCTGATAAAGCGCGCCTAAGCAGGGCTTGTAAAATGCACAACGTAAAAGAGTGTCATGAGATGCAGGTATGGGAGTCAAGTCCGACGGTATACAAGGTTGTTTGCCGCAGGTGGTTTTGGCCATGTAATTGGATGTTGCGTGCGACCAAGAAGAAGACAGGTATGTGGAAAGTGGGTAAATACATTCCCACCCACACATGCGAAATGGACACATTCAACGGGAATCACTTCAACTTGGATATTGACTTGATTTCTCTTGTTCTTATTCCATACATTGAACAGTCCATAAGGTATAAAATCAAAGAGTGCATTACATCAGTCCAGCAGGAACATGGCCATACCATTACTAAAAGAAAGGCATTTCTCGGGCGCAAACGAGCGTTTGAAATAGTGTATGGTAACTGGGATAAGTCATTTGCAGATCTGCCTAGGTAAACAATTTAAGTTGTTGGAGCGGAGAATAAATGGCAGCCGGGACTAAACATTGGCCTGTATGTGTTTAGTGTATTTTTCCTATTTCATGTATTTTTATTATGTTGGCATGTTATGTTTGTGTTTGTGCTGTACTAATGTATGTGTACTAGTCGAGGTGGCATTTAAGTTTAAGTGCTTGTGTTGTTATACGAAACAATAAAACAAATGGAGAACTAAAAAAAGTAATGGACATATTCGATTAAATATTGTTGTTAATGTATACAAAAATATTATTTACACCAAATACAAAAAAAGGAAGGCCGACTCAATGTGTCCCGCATCCGGTGTGTCTCAATGTAGCCGTCGGCCTGAGGCGCATCCCCTCCCGCCCGGGTACGCTATCAGGATCATCATCATCAAGTTTTCTCTTATAGCAAGATGCGGCGCAGGATGACATGTATCGGTGGTGCTGTCAGGTCCAGTAGAAGGCTACATAATAATATAAAACTTAGTTTAGAAAACTACATAATAATTCATAACAATTTATATTATCTTACCATAATCGTGTCTGGATCCTGAATGTAGTCATCTGTCAGCATCACATGAAGCCTGAAAAAGGAAATTAAAATAGTGTAATAAAATAAATAAGTTATAGTTAAAACAAATTCAAATTCAATACTAATAAACTCATACCTGCGCATGTGAAGAGCTGCCATAACTCAGTCGGCGCCCACTAAATAAATCTCGGGTCGGTGGACCCTCATCAGTGGTAGACGGGCCAGGGAAATATCTACCCCAATCTGCTCCTTGAAAATCCGAGCCCGTGATCAATAATTGACCCGATGGGGTCATCTGTGAAGGCACTGGAGTGTCAAAAATTCCAAGGCTGTAAGACGGCATGTCAATCTCATGCATGCCACCTGCCATATCAGCAGCAACATCATCGCCCCCTGCTGAACACCACCTCCTCGGGCAGCACGAGGTCGTCGGGCACCAGCAGGTCGTCGGGCACCACCACCTCGTGGGATACCACGACCTCGCTGGTACGTGGCTGGGTCAATATAATCAGCCTCGTGTGCCAAACGCTGATCCGATCGGGCTCGCTGCAATGTCTGGGCAGCCAAATCCATGAATCGACGACTGTAGTCCTGCATGACCACAGGATCGTGGACATAACTCTGCATCTGCTGCCCCATACGATAGAAGGTATGCAATCCAATCGCCTGCACAAAAGTAAAGAATGTAAACTACGTATTTGGCACGAAATTACAGGTATATAATTAACTATAACAGAAAACATACCAGAGCGTCGTGTCTCCCGGCGTATGAGACGTACCGACCTTCTGCATGATGAATGGGTTCGGTATAGGCTGCGGCAGGCCAAACTGACGAAAAACCCGTTGTGAGGCATGATGCTCCACAATATCGAGGCATGTGAGAGGGACAGAAGCCCTCCAAATATGTTGGCCGAACGTACAATACGCTGGCAGGGTACCTATCACCTCCTCATTGTACGGCGTCCAGATGAACTATCAAATAACAACACAAACCGTTAGTATGCGCAACACTAAATTAAACAATAACTGGTACGTTTAGTTAGATATTCACCTGTGCGTCCTCCAGCAAATCCAAGACATCCCTGATGCGGGGGAGATTATGATGGGCATCATACTCTCGTTCAAGTCTACGACGCATAACCCACCTACAAGCTAGAGGGAGATTCGGAATGTCTACATTAGCCGGTAGCTGTGGTAGAGGTGGCCGAAGCTGCAGAAATCGCTCATAGACCCAAACCTAACATAGAAAGTTGATGTATAGTGTCAGATAAACTATAACTACGTAGAAATGTAACTAACGGACATATTCGTTGAATATGTTGTCACCTGTAGAAGCGGCAGGAAGCCACAAACGTCTCTCTGTGTGCCCATGGAAGCCGACACATCTGCCTGTACAAAAATGAGAGGACAGCACCACCCCAGCTGTAGCTGGCTGTATCCTCGAACCGGGTGATATGATGCAGAAAACGGAGGCTCACTAGGTTCCCCGAAGTGTTCGGGAACAAGACCCCTCCAAATAGAAGGAGCAGCAACAGCCTCGTGTATCGCTGCACATCCACCTCCGCTGACTCGTCGGTGATAGTATCGTGGAGCTGCACCAGGTGGTCTCTAATGGGGACTAACTGTATGCGACTGACCCCAGACGCTACCTCCTGGCCCTCCGGCATGAAACCAGTGAGCATGTGCAGCATATCCCAATATGCCTCCCGCGGATAATATCTCATGGTCGTAGGGAGTAAAACAGGCAATCCATCAGCGGACAGGCCATATAAAATCTCTGCGTCCTGGAGTGTGATGGTGGCCTCGCCAATGGGAAGATGAAAAGTGTCTGTCTCCGGTCGCCATCGCTCAATCATGGCCGTGATCAAAGCATAGTCGAGCTGTATCCGACCAATCCTAATAATCCTATAAAATCCCATCTCCTCCAAGTGATGGACCACGCGGGGATGTAGAACGCGGGGAGGACTCAAAAACTCCCATAGTAGATCCACTCTCCTAGCCCGCAAAGTCTTTGTAAGCAACTGTCCCTCCGAGATATACTCGGATCTATGCTGGGGTTGTAGGGCTAATAGATCCGACGTCCGAGGGCCGGGATGTATAGGCGCATCCATGTCGTCAACTGTAAAATCATAATTTTTAATAACTTAATTGTACAAATTATCATTAATAATTATGTATTTTTTTTATAATTTAAATTCATATTTTTAATAACTTAATTGTACAAATTACTTACGTATGGGTTCCGGGCTCGATATTTTTGAGGCCCAGTGGCACCAAACTATATTAATATCCTCTTTTCCTTCCATGTTACTAACTTGTGTGAGAAATCGTAGGTACAACCATGGAAAACAATGATCTCGGAAATATGCCTTTGGGGGATATGGACGTCAAGGATGAGCAAGTCGAGGAGGTACCTCTTGAACCTCAAGCCAACCGGTGAGGCCAGGTGCCTCAAGACAATGTACCCACTCCACCCCCACCTCTACCACGAGCGGCTCCACATCGGATATGCCCAATGAAGTATATGCAAGTGCGATAGTCCCTCCCCATATTAGGGCGGGAACTTCCAAATCACCAATGTGATGCACACTTTGCTTGAGCAACGAGGTTTCTTCACCGGTGCTCCAAATCAAAATGCGTACAAACATTTGAAGGGGTTTGTGGATACCTGTTGGGGGAGCAAGCAAATGAATGTCTCCGAGGATGCATTGAGGCTAAAGATTTTTCCCTTCTCTCTACGGGGGAAAACTTTAGATTGGTTGGAAAGATTACCGAACCATTCCATTCACACTTGGGATGAGTTGGTGAAAATATTTATTTCTAAGTTCTTCTCTCCGGGGCACATGGCTACACTTCGAGATGAGATTTGGCATTCAAGCAAGAGCCAAATGAATCAATACACGAGATATGGGAACGCTATACAACAATGATTAAGGAATGTCCCAACAACGATATGACGGAGAACATGATTCAACAAAATTTCTATCGTGGGATTAACGCAACCAACCAATGTTTAGTGAATCAACTTGCCGCTGGGAACTTCATGACTGCGCCTTATGCAGAGTGTGTGAGATTTTGAATGAGATGGCGGAAATGTCATCGGCTTGGCAATCCCTGGCCAATGTTCCACAAGGTGATCCGAATATGATCCACCTTCACAAAGATTTGCAAGACCATGGGCAAGCCATTGCCGAATTGACAACCACCATGACGCAACTAGCAAAGGCTCAACTAAATCAAGTGCAAAATCCCAAATAATTCAATGCTATGGAGGGAATGAATATGATGGGGAACAAGAGGAGGACCAAGGGTCCACAAGTGCAACATCGAGTGGAGAATTATGTGCAATAATATAGTGGTTTTGAGCAAGATGATTCCTATAATGAACAAGAAGAGGAAGTGCAATATGCGAACAACTTTCAAGGGCAAAGAAATAACTTCCAAGACCCAAACCAACAACAATGGCGACCTCAAAACAATCAAGGCAATTGGAATTCTAACAATCAAGGCAATTGGAGCGGAAACAACAATCAAGGATATTGGCATAACAACAATCAAGGAAATTGGAGTGGAAATAACCAAGGAAATTGGGGGGGGGGGGGGGCAGGTAACAATCAAGGCAGATGGAACAACAATCAAGGCTATTGGGGGTCGGGTTTTCAAAGGCCCCCGATGTATCAACAACCAAGCAACCCGCCTTATTATCCTTCCCATGGTTCAAGTTCTTCAAACAATGAGATGGGTCGTATTAAAAATATGTTCAAGAAAATGATGGAAAATAATGCCGATTCGGATGCCTAACTTGCCTCACACAACACATCCATCCGCAACCAAGAAGTTCAAATGGGGTAAATCTCTCAAGCACTAAGTTCTCGTCCTAAGGGGTGTTGCGCCCCCTTTTTCCTTGCGGATTCTGGGTTTCGACATTCCTTTGGGACAACTCCTTTCCTTTTGAAAATTGGGTATGGAATTTGAAGAGTCGCCACCTAACGGATTTAAGGTGCGTTAGGGCACCTAAAGCAAATAACTCATAAACCGGTGTGCATTACCAGAGATTGGGTAAGAGCTCGAAATAACCTTGAGGGAAAGGTATTAGGCACCCCTCGAGGTCCACAGCGGTGGGTCCCGGCCAAACTCGGATTAGGTGAATTAGTCTTATAAGCAAACAAAGCAATTTAGACAAATAGATATTATGTTAAAAACAAGGGGTAAAAGGGGTCCTAGGTTTTTTAGCCTATAGGATCACTTCTGTGCAATACTTGGTAACCGTCCCCAAGTTGGGGTGCTACACATAGCATTAGCGCACAGGTCATCCTATCCTTTACTACCCGATTACCCTCCCATTAATGGTTATATAAGCGATTCTAATTAAACGTAATCTATGCGTGCATTACCCGTCCCTTACTTAAGGTCCTGGAGGTGTTTAGGACTTCTAGTTAAGGTGGATTTAGACTCTCCTATAGTGCTTAGAAGGAGAAATCTAAGCGACAAGCAAAACAAATAGGACTGTCAGATAAAGGAACAGTTAAATGCTCACATTTACCTCCACAAATAAGCAGGCAATTGCACGTCTCAAACAACAATATTTCAGACACTTTAAAACTCCTATAGAAGGATATCTAGGTGAGCACGAAGCAGAACATATGCAGTGCTTTTTTATTAAAGCGAGGCAGAAGTTACCTAATCAGTTTGCCTACTGATTTTAGGACAATCTGGGCACTTCACAAATAGTTAAACAAAGCACAGTTTTATAATTTCAAGATTTTAGTTGTCCTACAGGCTTGCCTAGGCATGGATCAGAGATGTCCTATAAACATGATACCTAATCGTCAATCAGAACCGCAATGAACCAGTAAACGATTTTAAGCAGGCAGTTTGGTTCACTAGGTCCTATAGTCATGATGTCTTGGTGCTGAAAAATAATTACAAACGTTACAGAACTAGTTATATATATAAGCCTGATATCTAGGTGTTGGGACTGCTTTTATACTTATTTCTTATAGGCCTGATTGCTACTGAAGTTTTATACGATTTGACTGCAGGTATGATATCTAGGTGAGTGCAATAAAAGTCCTAGAACATGGTTTCTAATGAACATAGGAGAATTTATGAACATGATTCTTAAGACTAAGTTAACAACAACCTAGAGACAGGATTTCTAGCGCGGATGTGAACATGCATAAATAGAAATTTAGAGAAAATAACATGATGAACCTATAAGCATGTTTTCTAGTGCACACAACATCCTATAGGCATGGTTTCTAATGCAGGTAGATAATTATAACAGCCCTAAGAGCATGATTTCTACCCGATCTCCCCACAAAATATATATAAAAGTCCCTCCCATTTTCCTAATATCCCAATATCTGTTTTACAAGAATTGTTATTACAGACCAAAAATGAATGAATTACAGAAATGAGACTGCTAAACTATAGGGAGCCTGGATAGGCCTAAAAGTAAACCTGGAAAACCAGGCCTTCAACCAAGTATGAAACATGCCAATATTCTCATAGTACACCCAATGGCCTTCTGGTGTGTCAAAGTTCCCAAGGGCCTCAGGGACCCCGGGCAATGCTCACGCCAGGAAACCTTTGCAAGAAATATTTTTTGTGAGCCAGTTTTGGAAAAGCCATCCCCAGTGTGTCAGAGTTCATAGGAGTCTCATGGACTCTAAGGCAGTGCTCACACCGTGGGGGGGGGGGGCAGGACCGTAGACGTTCTAAGAGTAGGAGTTGAAATAGGAGATAGTTTTAAGAAAACAGAGTCATTTAACACTTAGAATTCAAACAAAAGACCCTAAAAATCAAAAAAGTAGACAGAACAGGAGCACAACCACTTCAAGCAAAGTTTCATATTGTCTAGATTCGACTTAGTTTATTAGTTGTTACTAGGTGGGCATTATGGACATGTATTAGACAAAGAGATGGCATGCTGGGATCAGATTACCAATCAGTCAGTCATACATAAAGGGGCAGCAAGGGTTGGGAGCATGGAAATCAGAAGTCTGTTAGAGGTGAACACTTAAACAGGATAGAAGAACATGTTAGTTAAGAAACAAGTAGACATAGGTCTAATTTACATATAAACAAAGACATGCTGAAAATAGGAAACACATAGGTCATGCTGATTAGGATCAGAAAATATGAAGCACATGGATCTAATTAGATGGAATAGGCATGCTGATTAAGAGTAATAACATGAAACACATAGATCTAAGTAGAAGAAATAGACATGCTTGATGACAGGAAGCACACAGTTTTAATCACATAGAAATTTAAACGATAGGCGGAAGTGGAGGCATTACCAGTTTAAGATAGCAATAGAAGAATGAAGCAAACAGGATTCAGGGTCTAGCCTTGGCTTTCAGCCGGCTAGACAGTGCAGCAAACAGAGAAATAGAAAGATTGTGATGGAGGATATTGTGAATAAGAGCAAGAGCTTTTGTGTGTTTCTCTATGTATGTGTGTGTCTGTGTTTAAAAACAGAGTGAGGTTTATATAGCATTGAGTGGAGTACAGTAAATAAGGTAAAGCAGTTTAAAAGTTTGCAAATAAGGCAAAAAAGACAATCAGTCATCAATTAGGCTTGACAGGGCCAATCAATAGGCAAAAATCATGGAGTTATATCCAGAACTAACTCGGAATTGAGGTTTAAACAAGGTAAGTGATAAGTCTGATAGCTAATTAGAGTCAGAACACCAAAAATCCGGCAAGTAATAAGGCAATTAATTACACAAATAAGGTAACACAAGTAAATTAAAGACCAATCTGGGGTTGGTAAGACAATCAGCCCCCCTAAATTAAGCTTAATAGGAATAATTGAAGCAAGTAGTGCCAATTAGGAGTCCCAAAATAAGGAAAGTAGACAAAATTACATGAAGTAATTACCTCAGTAAAACAAAGCAATTTCAAACCCTAGACAGTTTAGATAATCAATCCATTACTCAAGAATAACGGACAAATATTGAAGAACAATGAAATAATCAAACAAACTAAAGACTGAAACATAGTCATGAAAGAATCAGTAGAAAAAGATAATCAAACACATAGGAATCTTTAGAAAAGTTTTGTTGAAACAGACGAAGTGAAACCCTAATTCTTAGAAAACATT